CTCGTCCCTAATAGCTTCATAGATCATACTCGGTCTTGCTCCTGCTTTCAACATTCGCACAGCCGCACTTCTTGTTTTCTGCGTTAACTGATGATGTTCATAGAAAATTCTTTCATCTTTGGTCATAGGATGATTGTGCTTATTTATTATTTCAGTAACGTGCCATTTAGAATTTTGTAGTACTGCCTTTAAAAGAAATTGGCATCCACAATGTTTACTCATTCTCTTTCTTTTGCGCGTGTCTACTGTTAAATTTGAGGTATTACGGGGTTGACCACCACGTTTGCATTGAAGATATAAATGGCGACAACTACTGTTTTTGATTGTTACTGCAAATCTAAGACACTTAGCAATTTCCTGTGCAGTATTAAGAATGTCTTTTGCTGTAATATAATCTTGTCCGAGCATTTTATTAATTTCATTAGCTATTAAAAGAAATAAAAATTATCAGTATAATAATCCCAATTTATAATTATATAGAATATTAAAAAAGAAAAAAAAATGACGCGTCATTTTGATTTATTTTAATCCATTGACATCCGAATATCTATAGTCTCTCCTTTATTAAATCTAGTTTTATTGTCTTCCTCGATCTTGCTTTCATTTTCACTACCAAATTCATTGTCGCTTTCATCATTAAATTCATCCTCATCTTCACTATAAAATTTATTATCCTCAAATTTGACTTTTATTTCCTCAAAATTATGGCTATCTTGACCCACAAAACTGTTCATTTCCTGTTTATGTATTCCAGTGAAGTTTTTGCCTTTTATGTACGTTAACTTCAGAACTTGTACGATAAAGTTATGATTTCGTCAAAAATGGAAAATCGGATATTTATTTAATATCCTAAATATCCGAATATGTAACATATATGTAATGTATTCTCTGAATATCTTCTAAAATTTAATTGGTCATAATTTGGGGTGCTCATGTCGATCATCGCGGTGCTGATAAGGGAGATAAATCACGTGTTGTGGTGTCGGTAGCAATCCCCTAAGTATACGGGCAAATGAACACGTGCTGCGAAACGGCACGTGTCAGCCAATCATTTGCAACTACCTCAAGAACACCTCCAAAAATTCTGCGCACCAATCAGCTTTCAAGATCAGGTGCAACATAAAATTATGCACCTTTTGAATAATCGTTTGTAGCTCAAAATCTTGCCTAAACTGCCTTTTGTGTTCTAACAAAAAAAATTCCTCGCCAAATTTTGGTATATGCTATGCTCTAACCTCGCCCTAAA